AAAAATGACATTTTTTTGTACGTTTAATAAATGTTTTTCAGTAAAATTCACATGGAAGTGTATTTTTATACAGACATAAAAGAGGTAAAGCCAAAAACAAAAAATTAGATAAAAATTTTCAAACTAGCGGAAAATGCCTGTTTCTCCGATTTTGTTATTTTGACGAGAGCCTAATTTCATCATGCTGCTTCACATTTGTTTTGTATTTCGCTGTATTAAGTTTCGTTTTTCTTTTCCTCATGTCTGCTTCTCCGGGGTCTTCACGGAACAGAATTTGGTGAGTTACTCGTCATGATGTGTCCTTCTCCAGCATTGTACGACTGTGTAGATAAAAGTCTGGTGATAATACTGAAAGTGTTCATGTGCATATTATCGTAACTTCCCTAACAAAATGGCAGATACCTTTTTGGGGTTTTCGGGTTTGCAGAGGTTGAGAAAGGACACTGGAAGGAAGTGAGAGGGAAAAGTGCATAGCTGCCCACTGTCCCGGGCCATCCATATTTTGTACGGATTTTCTTGAAAAATCGCTGTTGTCCCGGAAATGCGGATTTTGACCGACGGTCCCGGAAAATAAAAACTTGGCAAGCGTACTTCTAAAACAGAAAAATTACCCTTCTGTTGCTCGGGAAAATGACGAAAATTCGGGAGATTCCCGAAAAATTCGGGAGAGTTGGCAGGTGTGCAGTTTCGACAAAGTCAGCTGATACGCATGCGCGGCGCTCGGCTTCTTCATTCGTTTGAAAAGATGGCGTCAAAACGTTCGGTGATGAGTTCTAAGTCCAGCTCCGGACCAAGTAAAGCAAAGAAACTGAAAAGGCAGCAAATTTTTCTTGACAAATACAAGGTGTCCCTGATAATTACTCAATGTCCCTGATTTTGAGCAAGACTGTCCCTGATAGCCACAAAGAGGGGTGGGCAGTTATGAAAGTGGGGCGCTATACCTGTTGCTATGTCTTTCTTTTTTGGAAATTTCCACGTGTATGAAGATTGTGTTTATGAGTGTGCGAATATGTGTGTGGGGATGGGCGTGTGTGAGTGTGTGTGAGACATTTTTCTCGAGTATTCTTTAAATTTCTTGTCTGACCGTTCCTTCATTCCCATTAAACGTCTATTCATGATTATCTCTCGTCCTCCTTTTATTTGTATGTTACTCTCTTGTAACACCTCTGACCACCCGCACTTATATGACTTTATGGTGTTGCACGTGCCGTAAAACTCTTCCTAAAACTAAGTTAATCTATTTGAGTTGAAAGTAATGTAAAACATCACCAAAACTTCACTAAACTGGAATGTTTTGTTTGACGCAGGTCATAACTGGGGAGCAGAGCACGACGCAGAGACGGACGAATGTGCCCCGGACACCTTCAACAACGGGAAATACGTCATGTATCCTTACGCCGTCAGTGGCTACGACGAGAACAATGAGGTAATAATACTCTCAGTCCTACTTTTTGCTGCACATTTGTTTCATACGAGAACAATGAGGTAATAATACTCACAGTCCTACTTTTTGCTTCACATTTGTTTCATACGAGAACAATGAGGTATAATACTCACAGTCCTACTTTTTGCTTCACATTTGTTTCATACGAGAACAATGAGGTAATAATACTGACGGTCCTACTTTTTGCTTCACCTTTGTTTCAGTATAAAATGTGTGTGTGTGTTTTAAAAAGATTAGGCAAATACGTTATTTATCCCTATGCGGTCAGTGGTTACGATGAGAACGATGAGGTAATACTCACGGGGTTCTACTTTTTTCTTCAAATTTGTTTCATTATAAAACCTGTGTGTGTGTGTGTTTTAAAAAGGCTATTATTATTATTATTACAATTATTATTATTATTATCATATTTATTATTATGATGATGATGATGATTATTATTATTATATTGTGATCACTTACATGACCTATATGTGTCACAAGTGCTGTAAAACTCTCAATAAAAAACGAAAGTAACAAAAAACCAAAAAACCCCATTTTTGTCCCCAGTATTTTTCCCCGTGCAGCAAGCGCTACATATCGGCCGTCCTGTCCACTCGCTCAAGCTCCTGTTTCAAAAGTGAGTGTTTGATTCTCAGTTTGTCGCTTTACGTTGGGGGGTAGGAGAGTTGCATAATATGTATGATGTGTAAGTTCACCTACACTTTATGCTCAAACATGCCAGTGAGTGACGTGTACAGACTTACAGCTTTTTTGGTCATGTTTCTTTCTTTTGATGTCTCAATCTCTCAGAGTCAGAGGCACAAGCGGAGATAAGTGAATAGACTTGCACGCACAGATATGCGAGCTTGCCCAACGAGCTTGTAAAGATACACTTACACATACATTAACATACACAGATACACACGCACACACACACACACACACACACACATAGGGACATAAGCACTCTCGCTCAATGAGCTTGTCAAAATACGCATACACACACTCATGCTCACGCACACACACACTTACACACACATATGCTCACATACACCACACACACACAATAAGACCATGCTTGTAACAGTAATCTGAATGCGTTCTTGTCTGAAATGTGCAGATTGTAAAGCCTTTCTTTTTTTGTCCATTTATGTACGCATCTCTGCCTCCATTTGTCCTGTCTTTTGTTGTGACTAACATGCTATATTCATGACTTGCTTAGAAGCTTTTTTTTTTTAAGTAAGAATTTTACGGCACTCGCAACACAATACGGTCATATAAGTGCTGAAGATTAGAGGCGTTACAAGAGAGTAACAAACACAAAAAAGAAGGAGGGGAGATAAAGACGATAGATGTTTGATAGGAAAGAAGGAGCGAACCACACCAGAACACCCGCCAGCCACCCACCCAGTTTTCTATGTCCTGTTCCCTTGTCCTTCTATTAGGTCTTCCCCGTGGGTGGTTGGCGGGTGCTCTGGTGTGGTTTGCTTCTTCTTTCCTATCAAACTTCTATCGTCCTTATCTCCCCTTCTTTTTTAAAAATGTTTGTTACATGTGGCGTCAGTAGCCTAGTGGTTAGGCTACCGGACTCGTAATCGTGAAATTGCGAGTTCGGAGGTTCGAGCCTCAGCTCGGTCCGACGTTGTGTCCTTGGGAAAGGCACTTTACACAAACTTCCCACTTGGCTCGGTCCTATCGGAGACGGACGTTAAACTAGGAGGTCCCCCGCCCCTTAAATAACATAATACTGTTGATAGAGGTGTTAAACTTATACCACTTTTTATATTTGTTACTCTCTTGTAACACCTTTTATCTTCTGACGCTCATATGACCTTATGCAGTTGCGAGCGCCGTAGAACCTCTACGAAAGCTACTAAAACTAAACTTGGTCTTCCCCTTCTTCTCATGCTTATGAGACAATGACTTGCATAGAAACTCCACCCACTTATGGGTGTGTCTATTTTTTTAAAAATATCGTTGGGGATTCTCTCTTAGACTAATAGGAGTGGATGGTTGGCGGGTGCTCTGGTGTGGTTTGCTCCTTCTTTCCTATCAAACTTCTATCGTCCTTATCTCTCCTCCTTTTTTTTGTGTTTGTTGCTCTCTTGTATCTCCTCTACTCTTCTGGCTCTCATATGACCTTATGCTGTTGCAAGCGCCGTAAAATCTCTACTGAAACTCAAAGACTAATAGGAGTTTTGATAAAAATGAGTTATCTCTCAGACTTTAGCCTTATGAATATTTATAGATATATCAAATTTGTTTGTACAATTTATTGCTATCAGATGATAAAACGGGGGCCTCTCGTGGCCTAGAGGTTAAGGTGTTGGCCTCTCATTCAAAGGTCCCGGGTTCGAATCCGGGTTGCAACAGAAAAATGTTCTTCTCTAAAATTGTTTCCTTTCACCTCCTTTCCTGCTCTCTAGCAATGTTCTGTCGTCTGCTTTCGTCTCCACTTTCTTCCCCCATCCCCTCACCTCCTTTGCCCCCCTCCTCTGGGCTCCTGACTCTTTCTGCAGCCTTTCTTAATTTGTACTGCTACTCCTTGACTCCTTCTGACTGCTGTCTTTCAGCCACACCCCGGATCTTGATAGCTTGACTCCTTCTGACTGCTGTCTTTCAGCCACACCCCGGATCTTGATAGGGGCGTTAAACCCATACCATTTCACCATTTTTCACACCTCTGATCTTCTGATGGGAAAGCTCTACCCCTAGCCTTCTCGGACAAGGGCGAAAAATATCGGAGGGTGCATGTTGCAAGTGCCGAAAAACTCACTTTAAAAAAAAGAAAAAAGAATAGAAATTATGGCCTTTTCATACATATCACAACTAGCTAGCTGGTGGTTTGCGGGTGCTGTGGTGTGGTTTGCTCCTTCTTTCCTATTTTACATCTATCATCCTGATCTTTTTTCCTTCATTTTTGTGTTTGTTACTCTCTTGTTACACCTCTGATCTTCGGCCCTTATATGACCTTGTTATGTTTCAAATGCCGTAAAATTCTCATTAAAACTTTTAAAAAATAAACCAAGAAATAACTGCAATAAAATAAACAAATAGAGGAAAAAAAGAACATATTATATAAATAAATGAGTTAGATAGATAGATAGACAGACAGACAGACAGACAGATAGATAGATAGATAGATAGATAGATAGATAAACATATACATGTTTTTGACTTGATAAATACCAACAGTTGGCGGACGTTATGCTACCGTAGATTTGAACTCTTGTGGCCAGAACACCAGCTTGTCTTGCATCATGAACACAACTTTTCTGTCGCTGATGAAGTCATGTCTGTCATTTATGAAGTCATGTCTATCATTTATGAAGTCACGTCTGTCGCTTTTTAGTCATGTCTGTCGCTTATAATTTAATCAGGACACTGAACGCTTTCATTTTTGCTGCCTCTGAAGTGTGTGTATTTTTGCCAAGTGAGATAGCGAGTTGCTTTAAAAGAAATCGGTCTTTTGCTCGGCTGCATGCATATTATTGCATATGCATGTGAATTTCACCCTCCCGTGACCCCCCCACCCCCCCACCCCCTCCCTTTCTCCCTGTTACCGTATTAAAATATATTTGGATTTCATGACTTGTGAAATAACTGAGCTTTCCGGAGTTTCTGCTTTGTTCGTTCCCTTACGATACATTCTTTCTTTGGGAAATCTCACCACTTGTAGTAGTTGTCTCTTCCTGTTGTAGGAACTTCAGTACATGTGCATGGTTAATAGTACAAGAAGCGTACCATGAAAAAGTCGTAGAGGTTGTTTTGTTGTTGTTGTTGTTTTGTTGTTGTTGTTGTTTTTGGTTTTTTTAGGGGGGGTGTTGGAGGTTGTTTTTTTATGTAGATGTCTTGCCCTCCCACTAGTAATGAGTACCTGATTTCGTGCTGGGGAAGTAAAGGCAGCATGGAAAGGAACTGGCCACCCTACCACAATATGCTGAAGGCCCAGGAAGTTGTTTTGTCTCACTAACAAGGCAGTCCCCCATGTCCGGATCGGATGCGGGAACAACTTTACTTTTTTTAAAGATGTTTTTACGCCTCAATCGACACATATTATTATTAAATGGGTGGGTGGGTGGTTGGCGGGTTCTCTGGTGTGTTTTGCTTCTTCTTTCCTATAAAAAATCTATCGTCTCTATCTCCTTTCCTTCTTTTTTGTGTTTGTTACTCTCTTGTAACACCTCTAATCTTCAGCACTTATATGACCTTATTGTGTTTACTAGTGCCGTTAAACTCTTACTAAAACTAAAAACTTATTAAATGGGACTCAGAACTTCGGAGCGTGAACGTTACAGCCGGGAGTACGTGGTAACCCGAGTGCGGTATACCCAAGCATTCTCTACTGCCAGCTGTGGCATGCCCAGGTTTTACCCCCCGGGACAGTGCCACTGACTGTAGTGTCTTTAGGCCATTCCCAAAGGGGGGACATTTCTCGTTCAAGCATAGTAGAATTGTAAATGGGCTGACTCATGTCACGCTCATAACTGTGCCTGATCTACAACAGGGAATTGCTGCTTTTTCTTTCCTGATCCTTACTATTGTCATTTTCCTCTACTTCTTTTGTATGTTTGTCACTCTCTTGTGACCTGCTATTCCCGATGCAGACCTTGTGCTGTTGAAGCTAGAGAGGTGAGCAGTCTAAGTCTGATTCCCTGTAAAGACTTTTCTGTTGACACCCACCCCTTGGCGCTCATATGACCTTATGCAGTTGCGAGCACCGTAAAACCCTCTACTATAAAAAATATATATACCCAGATTTTACTGTACTATAATAATAATAATAATAATAATAATAATAATAATAATAATAATAATAATAATAATAATAAATGACATTTATATAGAGCTCAACCCCGATTAAAGTACACAGGCTCTGAGCGCTTTACAATACAGTACAACATACAACAGTAACATAAAACGTTGTGTTCCGACTAAAGAAAATTACTCCAAATATTCATCTTTAATTTAAAAACAGAAACGACTTCAGCTGACATTTGAATGAATCAAAAGATTTGATCTCTCTTAAAGTGTTTGGTAAAGCATTCCAGATCTTGGGGCCTTGGTATTCAAATGCCCTTTCACCCATTGTTTTAAGTTTCATAGATGGTAAAATAAAAAATGGTGAAATCGAAGAAACCGATATTTTTCCACACCTTGGGCAATATCTATGGATTTTTAAATGTAATTTAATTTTTTAATTAAAATTTTTATTTTTATTTTTTTTTTATTTTTACTTTTTTTTTTTTGGGGGGGGGGGGGGGGGCTCAACGCGTTTTATGCCCAGTAAGAAACACATTCCAGTGTTGATTGTACTGAAAAACGTTGATGAAAAGCACGACGGAAAAGTAAAATAATTCAGTTTTCAAGGACATTTCAGCTTTGGAAATCACCAAACTTTAGCGGCCATTTTCTCGCTAATGTTATCTCTGATACCAGGCAACCCCCACCTCCTTCACTCCCAAACATCTCGACTTCTGTTCAACATTTGTGGCTATTTTATCATTGTTTAAAAACAAAGGAAATGGCACGTTTTACGTTTATACCAATCATTAATTATATGCCCCAAAATTGACGAGCGCCTGATTCCATCACGTTTTGACACACGAACAGAGCTGCCTCAACGGAGTTTCTGTC